GGAGTCAGGCTAACAGCAACACAATTGTTTTTTGAAGTGTAAGATTTCAACATAGGTGGTCCAGTTTTAAGGAGCTCCAGTATGCATGTGATGGGGATAACAGTGGAGTTATCTACTCATCAGACATCATATGGGGAACATCAGTGGGTAAAATTCCATGGCCTTTCCTTTTTCCTTTTGTCTTTTCAAATGGCCGTTTGTATGGATAGCATCAACATTGTTAATTATCTTTGAATTATCTTTTTCAGAGGATAACCATTACTGATCCTAAAGTGTTGGCCTCGAGAACTTAACCAAGTATGATTATTCAAACTACTTCAAAAGCACACTGCTTTATGAGCTTAAATACACCCAAACTAAATGATATTTTCATACATTAGGGAACATCTTTTGCTGGGCCTCGAATTGAAGATGGGACATACCTCTGCTTGGCCAAGAGCATCGGGTTTCAACTCTATACTCCTCCATAACCTGTTTTTTGGAAATTACAGAAAGTTCCTCTTTATTCATCTGTGAAGCTGCATGCATAACTGAAGAAAATATAAGCATGGAACACTAATAATAATAGGTTAGAGTCCACTCCGAAGAAATGACAGGTTGAAATGTATGGTTTATGGATAAAACATCAACTGGATATGCCTTTAAGCGTAAGATCATAGTCGACTTATTTAGAGGTTCTAAGCGATCTCTCTTTGCCAAACAAGAACCATAATGAACATGTAGACCTCTGCCTAAACAGCTAGTATGCTTAAAAAAATTGACACAAATCCTGCTTCCATGTGAATATTATTCTGTAATGGACAACAAAAATGAAGTTTCAAAACAAGCATGCTTCTCTCAATTGAATCAACTCCTTGTATGCTTGCAAGAGTTTTGTGGACAAAATGGGCATCAAATATTATGAATTGATTTATAGTGAAACCGGGTACTGTTCTGATTTGCAAATTGCAATCAATACAGATAATGTGCAACTACCATACTGAGACAGAGGAACAGTATGGCTCCAGGGCATACTTAAGGTTTTGGAATTTTCAGGTAAAAACAATATTTAGCTACTTTACGAGGGTATAGGTTTTTTCTTTTGAATACATGGAGTGAATTGTGAATCAACTTGCCTCCATTTTTCCAGGGCCCGTGGATGGAAGGACCTGGATAGACTTGAGTGTGCAAGCCTGGTCAGGCTGCAACATGGTCCATAACTGGACGTAATTCTCTGCTTCCCTTCAGATTCTTCAGGGGTTGTCCAGTCCTTACTGGTCCGACTGCTGATGTTTCTAACCCCTGGAACTACTGCATTTGCTTCCTGGAACTCTGGTTATTTTGTGTAACCTCCTTATACAGTTCTATGAATAGAAGTTTCTGTTTGGGGACTAGGTTTCCCTAATTTAAGGTTGATTTAAATTGCAGTAGACTTTCTGACCCTCAAGCAGCATGGTAATTTTATTTTTGTATTTCTCAGACAAAAAATGTGAACCAATCTAGGTTTTACCAAATTCAATATAAAAATGGATTACATATATTATTCTCTACAACAATGGTTGGTCCAATCATTACCAGAGAATAACAGACTTAGATATTGCAATGCATCACATGATGCAGATCCATTGAACATGCCTCAAGATCCTCATAAAAATATTGGCACAGCAGAACGAATAGACCAACTGAAGCAATGCCACTTCAAATTTCAATGCAGGGTATATAAACTGAGTGACTTGGATTCATTAAGAGTGTAACATAAGCTTTTCTATTCGTCCACTAGACAAAACACATTTAAACCTCTTAACCTACTTTTACATCAGCTATTAGGATAACCGAAGCAGGAACCTGAAAAACTCAAGACATGTCTCAGGTGGTCTACCATCGAACATTATCCAGCTCGGAAGGGAGGGAGAAAGAATGCTTCAAGAGTGGCAGTTACCTACGAACAGATGGTACAGCACCTCTACCTGCTGTAGCTCCACGTCCAGCAGCTTGTGCCTGCAAAAATAATTAGGAGTAAGAAGGCAAGCACCACACACAAATCATTATTTTAAGCTGTAATGTATGAGAAAAAGAAAAAACTCACTTTAGCTCGCATTGCAACAGCTCTACCTCTGCCAACTCCAATAGATGAGCTCTTACCCTTCAAGTAGTCAAGAAAGAGATCAGAAAACAGAAATCATAAAGGAAGGACTGGAGATATACTAATCAATTAGAAAGTGGAGGCATACCTTAATTCTGGCATCCAAACGCTTGAACATGGGAGCATTCTTTAGCATGTCTGGTATGACCATGAACCTGTGAAAATTTTACCATATTTCCAAATCAATGAAGTTAACCTCTGAATGCAACAGAACCCAAGAGAAAAGAAAAAACACCTTAAACTCACAGAAGAAAAAGAAAGTGATCAATTACCTGACTTTACTGCCTCGAATGAAAACATGCTCAAGTTGAGAAACCTTCCCATCCTGAGCAAGACCAACAAGTTTAGCAGTCAACCATATGCATTAAACAGAAATAAAAACCAACCCAAAATATAAAAAATGCATCTTCCATAAGCAAATGCTCTGATTAGGACTTATATATGATGCATTTTACCTCCCTGTTTTTATTTTTTTTTAAGAGGAGGAACAAAGAAAAAAAAGAAGAAAAGAAAATCACCAAAAATGTAACATTGAAGTTATATCTATATCACTTTAAAAATTTCAACAGCAAGTTACATTGTGGCATTGAATTTATATCAGATGGCTCTAACAAGATCTAAAGCATATGATTGCAACTCAAAAACCTTTGGAAATAGTACTACCTACTAATTACTAACTAATTTGGGAGATACATAATAGAAAGGAAAAAAAATGCAACAGAACTCCAGTCTCAATCAGAATGAGCAAGAAACTATTATTAGCCAGAAAAACATTCTAGTTTAACAATTAACCATTCTTAAACCTAACATGCTCAAATCTAGCATCAATGGCGGAAGTTTACGGTTTTATACTACTAACTCCACGACTCAAGAATCTTCAGATTTCAACAAATAAAGTCCTCGAATCTAAACAATACCATAAAAGAAAAAAAAAACAAATCTCCATTGCGCCTAACCGAGATCAAAATCTAGGGTTCTTCAAGCACAGAAAGGAAATAGAAATGGAGGCGCCAGAGGGGGAGCGTTGTGTACCTTAGCAGTGTAGGTGATATTCTCGAGTTGGCAATTCCAGTTATCTTCGCACTCAACCATGCTTCCTCTGTAGAGCTCTCCACTCTTGAGCTCCACCGTCACGACGTGGCCGGCGGCCTCGTGTAGAAGCTTTACCGGTATACCCAAGCTCCTGCTCATCGTATCTCTAGAAGTTCTGTATCAATTGCAAAACCCTAGCTTGCCCACTCTCCTTTCTCCCCTCTCCTTCTCCGGCTGTGTTTTTCTAAATACTATAAAAGTATAAATAAATAAATTAAATTAAATAATAAATTGCAAAACCAAAAGATGGGCCGTCCATCCAGAAATTGGGCTGTCCAATGGGCAAGA